AAAAAAAGATTAATATTTCAATGTTCTTAACCCAATTCTTAATTACACAATTGTGCTGCTGGTAAATTACTCATGACATCAACATAACCTACATACCCTTATAACAATTTACTTATTTAATTTATTAGCCTTTTATTTAACTTGAACACATTAAGCAAAACCTATAAACCTGTCCTTAATGATACACTGCTTTTAAGAAATTGAGGTAAGCATTATAACTAGGTCAAGCTTTTTAACCTATATATATATACCATCTTGGTTCATCCTTCTATCCAAGAAAAAGGTATGAAAGAGAGATCTAATCAGTTCCTTTTTACCTATAGGAAAAACAACATTACTTAGAACTAAACTTTGTGAAACAAAAAATGGAGAAGGTTGGTTTGAACATGTTCTTTTTAAATAAAGCTTTTTGTTTTTCAGTTTTAAACATGGAAATTTCTTTATCCACTTCCTTCCAAAAGTAACATCATATAAAAAGTACAGTATGATCTCAAAACTAAAATACTTATTTTGGCCTTGCTGCAGATGGAACCCAGGGCTCTGCCTACCAGGCCAGTGTTCCAGCACTGGTGCACTCCACCGTCAGCTCCTCACAACCAAGATCCTGCCGCTGCTGTATACAAGACTGTAACACTACTACCACAAAGGTGCCAAATGTTGCCCTCTGATGGTCACACTCTGCCTCCCTTCCCTCTTTATTTCCTGCCACGGGCTTGTGCAAAGATGCTTTGCCACACAGCTCCTGCTACACCCTTTACATCCTGGCCTAGTGTGAAGCTGTGGTTATCAAACAATGATTGCCTCACAGTCTGCCTCGTGCCTGCTATTCCTCCAGGGGGGGTACTAGGAATTTTTTTGAAAAGGTACTAGGAATCGAACTCAGGACTTTGCACTTGCCAAGCAAGCATTGTGATGATGAGCTATACATCCAACCCAAGCCCCCTCTTTTTGTACCTTATTCTGACAAGAGTTCAAAGTTAAACCCTTACCCCCTACTCCCAGCATGTTCTCTCTGACCCTCCCTTCAGCTGAGAAGTGGGCAGCACTCTCCTGGAACTGTCACTGTATTACCACTACCAAACACCCTTCCTTCATACAAACCAAGACCCTGTTACTGGTCCTATATGCAGTCTGTACTCAATAACTTTCTTTTAATTAAAAGTGATATGGATGCTGGATGTGGTGGTGCATGTCTATAATACCAGCACTCAGCAGGTTGAGGCAGGAGGCTTGTCATGAGTTCAAGACCAGTCTGGACTACACAGTGAGACCTTGACTCAAAAAAAAAAGATACGAATGTGATACTGTGCTATAAGCTAAAAACTTCTACATGTGTTTTCATCAAAGAACATTTAGATTATATGAGAGTTTACAGAAATTATTTTATATAATTCACTGTAGGTTTCCTTTCACTTCATTCTTTTTTTTTTTTTTTTTTGTTTTTTAGGGAGGTCTACAGGGTGTTCAGGGTCTCACTACTAGATTGGACTCATAGTGATCTGCCTGTTTACAGCCTCCTAAGAGCTGGGATTACAGGTGTGCAATACCACGCCCAGTCTTAATTGCTATCTCAGCGTGGGGGGGGGGAGCAGCACAGCAGGAGGCTGGGGGATTGAACCCCCGGCCCCTGCACCTGCCTGCAGATGCTTTAATCCGCTGAGCTATTTGGCTGGCCCTTCACTTCTAATTATTTACACAAAGATTTAATGATTCTGAATTTAGGGCATAGCTGCTAGAATAAAAAGCAAACGTGAGTCTCTTCTACTGAGACAATTCAGTTCTATTAATAACAAAGAAACAATTATATACATGTGTTAGAATATGCACATAAGATAATCCAAAGGAATACAGTGGGGCAAGCTTAACTGAAGTCTTCTCTGAGGACTAGGGAGAATACGAGAGGGATGTGTACTTTTTGACTTTTTATTTCTATATTTACAGAATCTTCTAAACAAGTATGTAAAATTTTTCTACAAAGTAGAAAGTTGTACTTCTATAAACTTTTGTTTCTTTACGGAACAAATTACAGTAACTCCTTATCCATGAGAAATACAGTCTAAGACCTCCAGCAGGTGCCTGAAATCACACGGTGCTCTGACTATACATGGACTTTGCTTTGCTTTTCCTATAAATACCTATCAATGGGAATTTAAATTTTATTTTAGGTATGGTGAGAGATTATAGTAACTAAAAATAAACCAACAATTATAATAATATGCTTTAGTAAGAGCTGTCATCACATTAAGTATGGTGCACAGTTTAAAGCTTACAGATTATTTGTTTCTGATAATATCTTTTTAATATTTTTGGACTGTGGCTTCAGTGAGTAACTGAAACTCTGAAAATTGCTGAGGATGGGAGGGCTCCTGCATAGGCCATGTTAACAATACTGCCTGGGTCCAGTAAATCAAGATTTGATTTAGGGAGACAGCTGGGTGGTAGAGCAGGCACTCAGCAGAGTAGTAAGGGGGAGGCCCAGGTTACATTCCCAGCACTAACCAGCAAAACAAAAAAGTTAAGTGCTCCCAAGTCTATCTCAAAGGGACTGATGACCAATCTTCTGGATGATAGAAGGCTCAGGATGGATTTCTCACTTCCATTCCTAGCCTTTAACTCCTTTACCTGCATCTTTCAAATTCTTGAGTCACTGTATAATATGTACCTTGCCCTGTGGACAGTGTGCTGCAAAAGATGTGAACCACACCTATAGTTCCACTGTCCCTAATGCTCACACTGGAGGTCGGTAAGACAATTGAGTGATTTTGTTGCCTACATGGCATTCAAAAGTGATGTAACCATGGCATACTGCAGAAATGAGAGCTGCCTCTGTTCCTTTTCAGGAGAAAACTACCTTTTTATCGTAGTCACGGTCCCACATGTCATTAATAGTACAGCCTGCTCCACGCATCAGAATAGCTCCAGTACCAAACAGGGATAACATGTACCAATCTGGAAAACACCCGGGCTCGGCTGCCAAACCAATGCTCCAGGTACATGGCAAATACAACAGCCAGGTTCCTAAGCAAAAGTAGGAAAGACAAAAAAAGGTAGGAATTCAAGTCAATCAATTGGCCTTCATTTGTTTAAACACCACGTCCTAAAAAGTAAAGAACACCATAAGCAAAGTCACAAAACACTTTTAAAAAACTCAGAAAGGAGATCTGCACATAATACTATAAAGGAACATTCTTTTTAATATGTAAAGATCCACTAGAAATAGAGAATAAGAAGATCAGGCACCCAATTAGGAAGCACACAAAGACCAATTATGCAACGTTCACAGACAAGAAATAAAAATGGCTCTTCTACACAACTGTCACATTTTTAATCTATCAGACTGGCAAAGCCCAATGACAATACACCCAAGGAGGTTGGGATATTGTAGCTTCTGATGAAGCTACAAAATGGTCCCATGTTCATAGAGACAACTTAAAATGTATTATATTATCTGTATATATCTCTATATATTAAAAATACACATACTGTATTTCATTGTTAGTATGTTCACACATGATGATGTCAAGAAGCACACATTAGCAGCTGGTATTAACTGCTGCCTTTTGGGAGGGGAACCAGAAAAGAATTATTTTTCAATCAATACCCCAGTACTTCTGGTTTTGTACCCTGTGGACATGTTATCTATTCAAAAGTTAGTGAAAACTTCCTTTACTGCTGTTAGTGCAACACACTGAGATGGACTTAGGAGACAGGGGCTATTCTACAGGTTTTTGCTATTTAGTACGGAATAGGCTGTACATCTTGGTCTTTTGTGTCTGATTCCCAGCAACACTGTTTCTGTCTTTTCTCCTGTCTTTCCTGTGACATTCGATTCCTTACGGTTCCTTCTGTAAAAAATGAGGCAGAGATGGTAAGGGTAAGACACAAATAGATTGCAGAAAGAAATGTTTACTATAAAGGAGGATAATCTCTAAAGATGAAATAAAGCAAGCAAGTTCTAAAAGGTGAAGGGCAGATTACAGTGTCTGTGTATACTAAGATTCATTCACCTAGAGGGTTACATTAAGATAACATAATCGTAAGTGCACTGCTCATTTAGTGGAAAGAGTGCCACCTGCTGAAACTTCCTGAAATAATGCAGTTTGACTGACCCTTTTGAAAAAAGTTGTACTGCTCTCTCCAAAACCAAGGAAACCTACTACTGGCTTATGAAAGTAATAAGATATAAATTCATAAGGTAAAACAATAAACATAAAATTACCCCACAAGAGGAGAAGTGAAATAAAGAGGTGGTTAAACCAGGAATTCTAACAGTACAAAAAAATGTTTGTTGAATGAATTCTAAGCTTTATAAAAAATGTATAAAAGCATGTATGTTGGTATCATCTTCACAAATGTAACTATAGACACAAATTTCTCTAGCTCCCACTTATGCAGTAATAATGGCTAATATTTATGTCAAGTACTATTGAAAGTACTTAACATGTGTTTGCAAAACTTCATAGAATACTAGTATTTTCATTTTATAGATAAGGAATAAAGCCCAGAAAGGTAAAGTAATTTAACCACCAAAATTCCTGAATGGATAGAGTCAAATTGAACAGGACTTCTCATTCCAGGGCTCTATTCATAATTCCTTTATGGCCTTCTGTTACATGGAAAAATGTTCAGCCACTAGCAGAAAAAACAAAGGTCTGACTGTGGAAATGAGAATAACAGCAGCTTTTGATCCTTGTTAGGTGTCTGCAAGCTGACCCTGTCTATGGCCTTCCCACCTTGAATGAAGAGACGATGTATAGTCAAGCTATGGATCAGAACAAGGCTTAAGCCTTCATAGCCTGTCACCTGCAACCTGTCCCTAAAAATGCAAGGAGTCTATTCAGCATATGAATGATGGCAGGCCTGTCCTTACCATCTAATGTGATATAAACGCTTTTGTTTTAAATGTAGATGGTTATGACTCCCAGTGCTCTGATCTTAAACGTGTAGTAAGTACATAACTTTAGAATATAATAAACAAGACTAAACTGGGCCTCTTGGCTAAGCAAAGGTGGTAAGATTACACCCAGGCAGTATGCCTCCACATGCTGAAATAGCTAATACTAACATCAGTATGAGCTACATAGAACTCAGCCTCCACCTTTCCCTCCGCATCCATCTTCTTTAATTCACCTGGTGTTCCGCCTCATTTTCCACTATTTTCTATCCCCTCCTGCTTATCGAGCTCTCTTCCCGCCTCTGTAAAAGCAACCTGTCGTTTGAGGTACAATTTCTTAAGACGTTTTCCTATAATAGAAGTTCACAGTAACTTGTTTTTTTTTTCTTTCCTGCAGCACTTACTATCCGCAGCTCACCTACTGTTTTTGTTTCCCCACCAGACTAGAGTTTTTGAAAGCACGGAGTTTCTAACTTTAAGAACAGGCGACGGGCCAGGGACATAGCTCAGCAGCATAAGCGCCTGCCTGGCAAGTGCAAGGTGGAGAGTTGGATCCCTGGCCCGTCTAAAAAAAAAAAGGGATGCTGCAGAAATTTATTAATCTTTTTAGTAATGCTGCCAGGCAACATGCTAAATAAAAGGTAGCCTAGTCTCATGTCCGTGGCGCTGACACTCTATCCGAGACAGAAATAAAGCGGTAATTGTGTGCTCTGAAGAAACGCTGAGTAAGGGAGTGGTTGGCGTTAACAGAAAGGTTTGCGGCTCCTCTCTTTGCAGCGACTGGAGGTGGACAGGCAGCCTGCAAGCGCTGCACCTGCCACGGGCAAAGGCACTGGACTGCGGCGCTGGGGGTGATGCGGGAAAAGCCCAAGCACTAGGTTCTTCTGGGCTGGCTCTACGAGAAACCGTCGTTTCCTCGGGGGTCATCAGCCTTAATGAATTATTGGCCTGCAGGCCTTACAGGATCGCGGAGTGTCAGGCACTGAGTGAATGCACAAGTGCCCCAACACTGCAATCTACAAACGCAGGACCGCCGGAACGCCACGTCCCGCCAAACACACCATCTACTCCCGTATCTGTAATGAGTGCGCTTGATTTCTGTCTGCCTCCGGGGCTCGGGACTCAGGCCGCGTGGCCGGCGGGTCCCTCAGGAGGTCGCCTGCCCGCGCCGGCGGGCCACACTCACCGATGGGCTTGTCCAGGCGCATGAGGCGCAGGTAGGGCTGCAGGGGGCGGGGCGCCGCGCTCACTACGGCCGCGGCCGACAGGCCGAACGCGCGCCCGCGTGGCTCCTGCGGGACGGGGTGCCGCCAGCCCCACGTTCCGGGCGCCCCTGCCGCGCGCGCCAGGGCCAGGGGACGGCCATGCGAGCCCCACAGCCAGGCGGGGGCCACAGCCCCTGCGCTGCGCGCGAGGTTGACTGCCCACAAGGCCAGCATGGCGCACGAAGGGCGAGCGCTGACGCCACTTCCGGCGCTGCCGCAGCGGACACGCGCATTGGCGTCCGGAAAGCCAGGCCTCTGGGGAGGCGGGATGGTCGTGGAGCTTGTGGCTGGCCTTCCTGGTACCGGCTGTGTGCGGACGCAGCTCCGCTGCCAGGTTTCTCGACGAGTGCAAAAGGGGTGTGTTTATTTACAGCTACTTGTACCAGAAAAAGAAAAGCTGCGAAAAACCTACTGAACCCCAAATACCAATTTATAAAACTGTATTCAAGGTTAAGGACGGTTACCACGCAAATGAAAACCTGGGATGCTATGGCCCCGCGAAGAGGGGATGTCCGTTGTGCGGGGATCTGTGTCTCCGCTTGGGCTGTCCGCAGCACCACACTCCGATTTTAGTTTTCAGGGAGCAGTGTTAGTCTTAGGGAACCTTTCCTTGAAACCTGCACCCTCAATGCTGTGGTGTCTACCTGGCTTTGAGTGGGACCAGGTAGGGGGCATCCGCGTTTTCCTCCCGCCTGCGGAGAATGAGGCCACCCAGCGATTTGCAAAGGCTCCAGCACGCTTGGCTTCTCCAGGTAACAGGAGCTTGCTGTCCCAAGCACCAAGCACTTTCGCAGCCGCGTACTGCCTCCCATTGCCTAAGTGCCACAGTCTCTACCTCGTGATTTACATTTCAAGAGCATCGTGAATACTCTTTCCACCTTCGGGGAAAAGAGGATGATAAAACATCTCTTCTACTTGAAGTACAATATATCCATACTAGTACACAGATGAATAAATTATGTTGGAGAATTTTGAGGTTCATTTTCGGTGCTAATATTAATTACAGTTTGTGTTTATCTACAGGAACAAGCAGTACTCTGTGATTTGACTCCCCAGGACAGGGGCCCATCTGGCATGTGAAAAGAAGGACAATATTGGGGGGGGGGCATTTTTATTCTAATCCTACAGGTTTATTTAGTGCAGTTTTCATTCTAGTTAATTAACAGGAGTTCCCAAGGCCATTGCCAGGTCCAGCGATCCACAGGGGGACTCACGGACTCAGTGTATAGTGACACTCCTAGCTGGTTTATTACAGCCAAGCAATACAAAGTCTGCAAAGGAAAAGGGCTCCTGGAAGGATAGCTGCATTATGTGCAAGCTTCCAAGTCCTCTACTAGTAGAGCCGAACAAAACAGAGTTTAATTCCTTCAACAGGGAAGAATGGCAAATGTGTGGACTTTCACCACCACGAGGGAAGTTTTGAGAGACTTGGTGCCCAGGGTTTTTATCAGGGGCTGCTTATGTAAGCACCCTGTCTTGCATATACCAGAATTCCAAGCTTAGAAGGAAAGCAGGTGGTCAGTATTAATATACTGTTTAAAAAACACTTTAGGAACAGCAAGCTAATTTTGTCAGTTCTAGGAATGACCTCTCTCAAAATTTAAGTTCCTATATGGTAGTCAAGGGTCAGCCTTGCAAGTAGGGCTTTCTAAAGATAGCAGTCTCAAGCCTACTATGTGCACTCCTTCCTGCACAGTGGTACTGTGCAAATGCAGTATTGGTGTACATTGGTGTACCATAATTACACAGCTAGAAACATGTTACTGCCTTGCTGTAAAATTAAAGCCAAGAGTAAAATGTATGCTTCACAGCCTAACTAACCTCTGAGCACCACCTGCTTAGGCCTAGAGTGGTAGTGAGGAAGGGCAAGCTCTGAATTTTATAAAAATAGTTAAGTTTGCCCGATTGCGATTCTAGTTCTAACAGAAACAAGTGTAGCACTCCTCTTAACAGAAACTTACATAAATTTTCTCCCTCCTTAACAATATGAGGCATTCAAATAGGCAAATAGTTGCAGTCAGATTATTAGACTCAGTTTGGGATATTCCTTGGGAAAGATACTCCAAGGTAAAGACACAACTGTGCATCTGGGAGCTTCCTTTTTTCAGCTGGTTTTGCCACTGACTCAACAAGCACTTGTTGATAAATAGCAACTGAGAGACTGCCACACTTCTGCAGGCAAAATAAGAGTCAGAAAACAGGCTTTTGTTCCTGCTGTTGCTGTCCCAGAGGCAGGGAACTTCCTGAAGGATGCCATACGGCGCCTGTGGCTGTGCTGGCCATGAGCAAGTGATCTTTGGGGATCTGGGTCTTCATGAGGAGCCTCTTGATGCTGGAGGATACGTAAGATATCTAGGCAAGGCCAACGTTGCTAGAGGTGCCACCTGGCATTCATCTTCATCCTTATGTTGTGATGCCTTCTTCACTTGAATTCTAAAACTCTTGGATCACTAACATTAATTTTTAAAATATTTTCAAAGAGCAGATAATACTTCCCTAGGTTTGAAATTTTAAATGATTTTTAAATATTCAAAACCAAAGTACCTCAGCCTGGTTTCAAATTTGACTGCTTCTTTATGTGATCAGGAAGACATGTGACTGGTGACTGTGTGTCTAGTTACAAGTTGTTAAGCATAAGTAACTCAAAGGTGATTAAGACATTTGCATATTTTCCTTAAACTTCAAGTCAATCGAAGCAGACTTACACACACCTTGAAAGTGTGTCACAAGGACCACAGTAAATGTGCAGAGTGCTATGGAAGCAGAGAAAGAGGACGAACAATATTTGAATGACAGAGCAGATGTTGAAATTTATGGCTAAGCTGCATCTTCCTTGGTAAGCATGGAAGCCTGTCCTCCTGAGGAGCATTAGGAGAGTACAGGTAGAGACTGTTCATCTTCTCCTGATGAAAGAAGAACAGCATGCAAGATTCAGGAATAAAAGGTCCAAGAGAATGTGTGTTTGGATTTCTCAACCCATGTGTGCTTAGAGGCCATAGTCCTGGGGAAGTGATAAGAGCTAAGATTGGAGAAACAGGCAGATGCTGCTGATGGAAGACCTCTTGGGTCCTTAAGGAATGGGGAGCCATTTAAGAATTTCAAGCCAAGTTAAAATAAACAACAAGGAGATTATTGTAAAGGTGACAAATTGGGCATTAAAAATAAGTTATTAAGCAGAAGAAAGGATGGGGGGGAAAACAGGCAAGACAGGACAGGACACCAAGCAATGGTGACTGAATCCATTTGCTGAGATGAGAAATGGTGTTTATGCCTAATGGTCCCTTTCTTCAAGGCCAAGTGCTTCCATGTTGGAGAGAGGCTGAAAAGACAAAGGTGAAATGCAACAAGATTCCCAAATATAGGAATCTTCAAGCTTTAGTTTCATTAAAAGAATAGCCATATGATATTCAGGTTATAAAAATTTATTTCAAATGTGAAAATATAAAAACCACTTACATATAAATTTAAAGAGCATGGAACCATCCAAATTTTAAGTTCTGGCTTTATAAATGTACTTAAGTTTGAAATGATAGTCACAGACATAAATATAAATATCAATCCTTAAAAAGATGAAAATATAGGAGGAATTACTACATTTTGTCCCTGATAAGCACAGAACTGTCCTATCCAGAGCTGTGGATGCCCCAGAACTGAGTTCTCCACTCTGAAGTAGGCTCACTCAGACAGGTCAAGGCATCACACGGTCATGGTGAATGGAGAAAATGGCCATGTGACTTCCTCCTGACCAATACAACCTGAGGGGACATGAAGGGTTTGCTGGGACAACCTCTGAGAAGGGGCTCTTCAGACCTGTGAAACAAACAGAAAAGGCTGCTCATCTCCTCCTTCTGGTTGTGACCAAGTCTAAGTGAGCCCAGGGAATACCTAGTCATCATGTGACCAGCCCAAGAATCAAGCCAATGCTCAAGATGACAGTGCAGAGGGAGGAAGGAGCCTGGATTTCTGGTGACACCTGGCTACAGGACCCTGCCCTCCTTGAACCTCTCATGTGGGGCTATAGCTTTCCCTATCTTCCAAGCCATTTGAATGGGGGTTTCTGTTATTTGCAGTCCAACACATCCCAAATGAAATGAGAAGAGTAGAGAAGAATTAAACACTAACAGGTGGCTATGATGTATTGGATGTTCTCTAAGAGTCCTCATGGTAAATCAACCTCACTGTCATTCAGAAACTTTATTTGAAGTTTGCACAGTCCCTTTCCTCTCATTGTCTCCATCAGTTTTTTGTGCTTTCACATGGAACCAGCTGTCCTTTCTCTAACTACTGCTGATACAGACGAACGGGATGGAGGGGAGAGGAACAGCAGCTGGACCTTGCTCTTGTTAAGGTACAGGGAGAAAGTTTCTCTTTTACAACCAATTTCATGATTGTGGCTGTAAAATTTCCCCACAGGAGCCCACAGAGATGGCATATGAAGGAAAGAATCTGACGAGTTTCTAACTTCCTAAAGAGAAAAGCAAGCAAGCATGTCTTAAAAGTGAATACTGTATCCTCCACCTATTTGCTTTCTGGCCATGCTGACAGCATTTGTATACATTTTCTATATCCTTAAAAACAGTGCATGCAGAATGCTAAGTAGAGTGTCTGCCACATGGTATTATTAGCTACTGTCACCAGCATTGCTCTGCTTAAACCCATCTACTGTGCTGTATCTAGCTTGGAAGGTGTCTCTGAAGGGCCCCTTACTGGATCTGTAGCAGATCTCTTTGCCATCTATAGCTCCAGTTTTGCTGCCTTTTTTTTTTTTTTTTTTTGAGAATACAATGCACCTTGAAATTTATTTTGAAGATCATGAACCAAAGTGAAGCATTTTAAGAAATAGAAGCAATGTGAATCCAAGTCAAATGGGGAAAATACTTCTAGCTACTTTTTAAAAGCTATTGTAGTAACTTTGATTAAATAAAATCATATCAATTTAATTTTCTATTCTTTTCCAAAAGTTTCCTAAAAAAAAAAGTGCACCCAAAACCCAGAAATTCCTTGCTCCATTAACTTTCCTCATCTCTCTTGTGCCATTTCTCAAAGGTTTTCCAAGATTCAAATTTTTACTGAAAGGAAAGAAGGGACTTCTAAGGTAAATCTCTATCACCTGTGAAAAGTATCCAAATTATAAAAATCTGAAATAATTTGAATTATGTATGCATTTTTTGTTCATAAGCAAGCAATAGCTTTGGCATTTTTTATCACAAAAAACCCATAGGAGAAAGCTGGCAAGCCCAGTGAGCCTCCTGGGCGAAGAGTTTTCTCTGTCAAAGTTGGCAGGGTATAGTCATCCACCATCTTCAGAGTTTCACCATTGAGTTGAACCGACCTGCAGAAAGCAAAGATAAACTTCAGTCAGCCACACTGTCTAGTCCACACACTAAAGAGTTGTGTATTTTTTTCCTTTTTTAAATACAAGAGCACAAATGCACTTTTAGTTTCCATTAGTTTAAATTCTTGAGGGGCACAGCATCACACAGGTTCGGTGTCCGATGGCCTTAGTAGGAAGGTTGCCTCAGAACTTGGCACGAACCATGCCGCTGTTTCCGTGGCCCCAGTTACTTTTCCCCAGGTCCACTCTGGTTTTGTTTGGTTTGCCACCTGGAGTCACTGTGTTGTTTTTCACTTTGTACACACAAGCACATCTCTTGCCCAAGTAGAATTCAGTTTCATCGGGGCATAAACACCTTCAATCTTAAGAAGAGCTGTGTGTTCCCTCTGGTTCCGGAGACCCCACTTATAGCCCACAAAAATGGTCTGCAACAGTCTTCCAGACATGTTTGCCTTTTATAAGTCCTATTCCCAACAGGCCCCACTTATTTGCCCCCAACTTCCACACCTGGCGCCCCCCCCTTACCTCCCCAAGAGTTGTGTAACCTTTTAATTTTAGAGCAAAATTTTGTTTGTAGCAACTTCTGTTATGTAATGAGTATCTTAACATAACCGTGGTGTTTGGCCCAGGTGATCTGTGAGCTGCAGGGGAGACGTGCTGGATAGAGACCTCATGGCCTGCAGAGCCGGAAGTATTTACTATCTGGCCCATGGCAGAAAACAGAACACACACACACACACACACACACACACACACACACACACACAAATAAATAGGGCCAACCAAATAGCTCAGCGGATTAAAGTGCCTGCAAGCAGGCGCAGGAGCTGGGGGTTCGATCCCTGGGACTGCAGTGCCGGTCCCACCCTCCAGGGGCACACTGAGGCAGTGACTGAGATGGGGCGTGGTGGCATGTGTAATTCACAGCACTTGGGAGGCTGTAAACAGGTGGATCACTACGAGTTGGATCTAGTAATGAGATCCTGAACACCCTATAGACCCTTCTCTAAAAATACAGGGACAGAACACACATATCTGTGTGAGAAAATGTGGCTGAGGAAAAAAAAAAGGGGAAAATATGACACAACTTATGGAGTTTTGGCAATTTTTTTTTTTTTTAAATGCGGAACCGGGGATTGAACTCAGGTCCTTGTGCTTGCCAGGGAAGCGCTTATTCCACTGAGCCATCTCCCCAGCCCTTGGCAATTTTATTTGGTGGAAAATAATTGAAAAAATTTTTTAATAACAAATTGAGGTCTATATGAACTAGAATGTAAATTTCTTGAATTTAACATAAAACTTGTAGTCAATAGTGTTTCCTATAAATTTGTCCATAAACTATTTAACTCCCTTTTTTCCACAAGAAGGACATATTCATTACTAGGATATTTTGGTAGAATGGAGGAACAACCTGCTTAGGTCCCCGTTCTGTCCCTTTCTTGGACAGAAGCTTTCTTTTCCCCAATAAATACATTCTGCTCTTAATGTATTTGTTCCTTAATTACATTCTTCGGTTTCAGAGAACATGAACTAGTCCTAGGTGTCTTTCACGTTGGGAGTTTCATTTCCCCTATATAAGTACCCTTAGCTTCTCTGGAAACTTACACTCCTAACTCTACCATGTGTTTCCACAAGCCCTAACTAAAATTGATTGTAGCTATAGTAGTCATGCTTTTTATTTTTTTATTTATTTTATTTTATTTTTGCAGTACCAGGGATTGAACTCAGGACCTTGTGCTTACCAGGCAAGCATTTATTCTACTGAGCTATCTCCCCAGCCCAAGTCATGTTTTTTAAGGAGGCACTAGCAAAATATTTTGGTAGAATGTATATTACTAAAACAAAACAAAAAATAACGCTGTTTGGCAAAACCACAGAAAAATGTATATTTTCTGTGTAATTCACTGTGGGAATTCAAAAACTGAGTCATAAAATGAAAGAAATTTCACACAGAGCAGACACTGGTATCATTTTAGAAATGTTTTCAAAGCCTATTTTTGCTTTTGGTTTCCTGATTATGGTCGTGACATTTCCTCCGTGACCCTAGCTGAAAGCTGTTGTGCTGAAAATGCCAGCACAAGGATAAAAAAGGATAAAAAAGTAAAGTCTTTTTTGTTAAGTTTCAGATAAAGCCTTAGTAAGCTACAGATTTAGCAGAATTGGGGATGCTGGGAAGTTTATCAGAGACAAATAGAAAATACTGATTTTATATTAGAGATATATTTGCTTTTATTGATTCTCAGCCTTTTGGATAAATCAAGTGTGGAAATATATTTGCTCAAATACTTATTAAATATTTCTCAGACCCCTCCACAGGCACTACAAAAAGGTTGATCAATTAAACAACTATTATTATTATTATTATTATTTTTTTTGGTGGAACCGGGGATTGAACTCAGGCCCTTGCGTTTGCCAGGGAAGCACTTATTCCACTGAGCCATCTCCCCGGCCTCTAAACAATTATTTTTTAGAGTGAGTTTAACTTTCTGAGTCAATGTAAGCAAGTGTATAGTCTGGGCATTTGTCAAACTTATGTGGGATACTGTTCACAGATATAAAGAGGGAAGCATAGAAGTCATATGAACTCATCAAAGGAAAGTTGGGGGATTGAACATCTTCCATAACTTCACTAGTTTTCCAACTGAAAAGCATGGGATATGTGATCAGAATGCGACAGGGTCTGATACATGCAGCCAAACATTGAATTATTGAAGAAACTGGGCCTCTTTTGCCTAGGAAGGAGACAATCTGGTCACCCTGCAGTGTGTGAGAGCTGTCCTGGAGAAGAAGGCGTGGAGCTTTGCTGTAGGGCAGAGATGGGGGACCAGAGACCTGGGAAGTCACAGACGCCAGAACAAGGCAACAGGGGAGGAAGGGACAGCAGAGAACCAAAAGGCTGAATGGCCGCCTAACGCAAGCCTGGCAAAGGGAGCCAACAAACCCAGAGAATCCACTGTAAAGAAAAGCTGGAGCATGGTGCAGCAGTAGGACCTGTCCTTAGCATGCAAGAGACTTGGCTGGATGCCCAGCATAGTGCACATACCCACATGCCCTACCAGAAAAAAGGGGTCCTGCCAAGCCTCCTCCTGTCTGCAGGCTGCAGCAGAGTCTACAACCTCTGCTGTAGAGATGAGAACTAAGCAGCAGTGCGCACAGTCTCTGGCTCTGGCCAAAGAGCTGTGGCGGCCTCAAGAAGATGGTCACGTGGGACAGACAGCCTGGGACAGGTGGCAGGGTCCAAATGCTCTGTGCAGACTCTTCCAACTCTGCAGCTGTTGTGCGATTCCTTCAGAAAAGCTTCTTATCAGTGTCAGACAAAAACATGTTTAAGCATACTTGTTTCAGAAAGGATTAAAGCATAAATTAGAGAAATGTGTTGGTACCCAAACATGCATTATTTATAATAGGAAGAAAAAGATTTAAACAGTTAAATAAACCATGGCATATTATAAATCACATAGTCCATTAAAAATGTCTGCAAAGATGATGTAGGAAAGGCCTTGGGAAAACCTATATGCCTCTCCCTTTTCCCATTGGATGCTGTATGATTATACTGTAGTTGCAGTTTGAAAAAAAGCACTAAAGTGGCTGGAGAGATAGCTCAGTGGCATAAGCACCTGCTTAGCAAATGCAAGGTCCTGAGTT